GGTCTCCCTGTAGCCCCAGCTGGCCTGGAACTTACTAGGTAGACCAGGCTGGTCTTGAACTCACAGAGATCTGCCTTAGGCCTCCACCTCCCGAGTGCTGGGAGTAAAGGTGTGCGCCACCACACCCCACTGCTTTTGGATTTTTGCTGTTGGAAAACATTTGAATAGACAAAACAGCATGGTCTGATATTTTAATTAAAACAAAATCATTTTAGCTGCTGTGATAAAAAGCAACTGGAGGAGGTGGGGTAAGGAGGACTAAAGAGCCGATTGCTGACAGCATATGAAGTGAACAGGGAGGCTCTGGTGTGATTTGGAAGGTAGAACAGGCCAGATTCACTGATGGAGGCAGGGATGAGACAGAGGTCAAAGATGTTAAGTTTTCAGCTGAGCTGAAACTGGAAGGCCAACCACCATTAGCTGAGACAGAGAAGACAGGGAGAAGGGAAAGATTTGTGGAGAAAACCAACAGGAAGTCTTATGAACTTGGCAACACTAAATGGAGATGATGGGTAGACAGATTTAGAGCAGGCTGGGCTAGAGTTACACTTTGAGAAGTGTGGCTGTAGGCAACAGCATTTACAGTTGAGGCTGCCTGAGACCACCAAGCAGGATGTGCAGGCACATGGGGGTCAGAAGCTGAGTTCAGGGTACCCCAAATGCTCAGAGGTTGGGGAAGTGAAAAGAAACGAACCACAGATCTCCAAAGGAATAGCCACTGGCAGAGGAGCAGGTAGTGGTGGAGTCTTAGACCTGGGAAGAACGCTTTCGAGGAATCCTCAGTTGCTGCATTCTGTTGACATAAGACAAGGTCAAGACTAAGACTGTCAGCATTGGCAATATCTTCTTTGGGTCTTTTGGGGAGAAGCATCTGATTCCTTAATAAGTGCACATGTGTGCAATGCCCACAGAGGCCAGAAGAGGGTATTGGATCCCCTGGAACTGGAGCTATAGATAGTTGTGAGCCACCATGTGGGTGCTGGAACTGAACCCAGGTCCTCTGCAGAGCAGCCAGTGTTCTTAACCATCTCTTCAGTTCCTGATTCCTTGATTTTAAAAACTACCACTTTCTAACAAACTACATACTTTCAATTTACCCATTTATCTTGTCGGTCTATTTTTATTATATTGGATGAAAGCTTCACAAGGGCGGGGACTTTGGACTATTTTGATAATTAACAGAACTCTTAGTCTGGGGTACTGTGGTTCATGCCTAACACTTGGGAAGCTGAAGCAGGGAGGATTGCCCCAAGTTTGAAGTCAGCCCGGACTACAAGGCTAGCCTGGGTAACAAGTGAAACCTTGTCTTCAGATAACACGACTCCTCAGCTCTCAAAGGATGCGCTCTCCTTTTTCATTTTATCTTTTTGGAGAAGCTGTCACCTCTTAACTGGTATCGGATAATGACTTGCACAATTAACATTGTTCAGTGTTAAGAGCCTGTGGAATGCCAGGTTATTGGCATGCTTTTCTAAACTAATATTAAACTGTTTCTACAAAACAAGCACCATCACCACACACAACAGTGTCTGGTCGTAGTTGGAGCTCAGTAAGGATTATTTTGCAAATCCATCGAGACGTTCATTCATTTCTTTGACAATGTTCCTCTAAAATGATCAGGCAGTGTTTTTAGCTAAATCTTAGAACTAGGACTAGCTAACTAACTAGGCTGGTTCCTTTCTATTCAAAACCTGGCATTTTATGGCGCAGCTCACCAATCCCAGATTGTTTGACAGGTGTATTACACAACTACATCATGTCTCACCACCCAGAACTATGTGTTTTCCTGTGAACTAAAGGGGAAAAAAAAATCCACGATCAGCTAGCCCCTCACAGTTCAGGGTCTTCTCCAATGGAGGAACCCCACTCATCAAAGGAAATGGAGGTCTAGAGAGATGGCTCAGCAGTTAAGAGTGCTTACAGTTCCTGAAGAATTTGTCTATAGCATTAACAAGGTGTGCTAATTTCACAAAACAAATTAAATTCATAGAACTTCATTCTGCAACATAGAACCCATATACTGTGGGGCTGCTATGAGAGCTGGAGAGAATTATGTAGGAGCCTGCAACAGACCTCAATACACTATATATACAATATGCACATATGTTATTTTTAACTTCATAATCCCGTCCAACTTGTCATTTTTTGTTGTTGTTAAGATAAAGTTGGGACTGGTGAGATGGCTCAGCAGAAAAAGGCATTTGCATCTTTTTAATACATATATTACAATGTGTATACATACATGTAAAATAATAAATTCTATCACTTTATCTTTAAATTTTTGTTGTCTCAGAAAACAAAAAGAAAGAGTCTCCCTGTAGCCCCTGCTGGCTTGGACTTAAAGTTAGACCAGGCTAGCCTCAGTCTCACAGAGATCTGCCTGCCTTTGCCTCCTGAGTGCCGGGATTAAAAGTGTGCTACCACACCCAGCTCTTTAATTTTTTTTTTTTACATTTGTGTATGTGTGTGTGTGTGTGTGTACACCAGGCACTTTATTAACTGAGCAACACCCCCTCCCTGGCTCCACCTGGCTTTAAAAAGTTCTTTGACAATTTTGTACATACATGTACATATTTTCACTACTTCACCCCATTACTCTCTCTCATTCCCTCCTAATGAACCCCTTTCAAAAAATCTGTTTTTTAAAAAAATTTAATGTATGAGTGTTTTGCCTGTATGCACACAATGCCTGCGGAAACCAGAAGAGGGTGTTGGCTCCCTTGGAACTGGAGTTATGGACAGTTGTTATCTGCCATGTCTTCTGAAAGAGCTGCCTGTGCTCTTAACTGAGGAACCGTCTTTCTAGACCTCTCCTTTTTTCATGTCTCTTGTTTTAGGTTTTTTTGTTGTTGTTTATTTTTTTACGATGCACTGGTTTAGAGCTGCCTGCTCAAGCATGGGTGGGAGATTATTACTGGAGCGCTGGCAACTGAATTGTATCTACAGCACTGACGAAAACGACTCCCCCCAACCCAGCAGCCAATAACTACAAATAGCTCTTCGGAGGGGTGGGCCCTCCTATACCCCTCACCCACCGTGATGGAATGTTGCTAGGTGCCATCTTGAGTGGGTCTTGTGCAGGTAACCACAGTTGCTGTGAGTTCATGAGTGTCATATACAGAACACAGTGTTTCATAGAACGTTTCCCATCCTCCTACTGTTACTTCGTTCTGCCTCCCTTCCATGACATTCCTGGAGCCTTGCAGGGGAGATATAAATGTCCCATTTGGGGCTAACCACTCAACAATCACTCACTCATCCTTTTGACCAGTTATAAGTCTGTGCAATAGGCATCATCCACTGCAAAGAGAAGCTTCTCTGACCAAGGTTAAGAGCAGCACCAGGGGTATAAACATACATATTTAGAAGGCAGTTTGACATCATCATGTCCATTTAGCAAAACAACAATAGTCATCCTCCTGCCCCAAGAGCCCATGACCACCCCCAATTCTGGGCTTTTGATCAGTACCAGGTATGAATTACCTCTTGTGGAGTGGATTTCAAATCCAATCAGAGCAGTTGGTTACCCCTGTATCAGTTATGCTACTATTGAACCAGAGAGCACATCTTGCCCAATAGTTTGGTATTGTAGCTTGCCTGGGCACAGCTGGGGAAGAATGTTGATGACTTCTCCTCCCTCCAGCAGCCCAAATAGCACCTTCCATCACTACAAAAGCAACTTACCCTTGTTTTTTATTTTCTTTAAAATCTCATTTCCTCTTATGAGTAATATTGGAACCCTGCAATGGGTACCATCTTGTTATAATGAAGAAAAGTCATCTACATTTTTCCATGAACTTAGTTCATGTCTATAGTTTCTTCCTTCTGCATATGACTAGGGAAACCATTCATATTTATTCAAATAATTGGATCTACAGCAGCATTTGAAATTCTCTTCATACAGATCTTGCATAGCTATGTTAAATGAAACTAGATTTTTAAGTATGTGTGGTACAGGTAATTGAATCCTAGGCCTTGTGCATGCTAGGCAAGCTTTCTACCACAAAACCTTAGCCCCAAATTAGTGTGTGTGTGTGTGTGTGTGTGAATTATTTTTATAGTCCTTATTTTAAAATATGCTGGGAACCAAACCCTGGTTCTCTGCAAGAGCAGCCAGTTCTCTTAACTGATGAGCCATCTCTCCAGCCCCCTATTTTTTTTTTTTTTCTTTTTTAAGACAGGGTCTCCCTGCTGTCCTGGAACTCACTAGGTAGACCAGGCTGGCCTTGAACTCACAGAGATCTGCTTGCCTCTGCCTCCCAAGTGCTGGGATTAAAGGCATGTGCCATCACGCCTGGCCCGGCTCCCTATTTTTAATTTTTAAAAAAATTTATTATGTATGAGTGTATTGTCTGCATGTATGTGAGTGTAGCCATGTCTTGCAATGCCTGCAGAAGTCAGAAGAGGGCATCAATTCCTCTGGAACTGGCGTTATGGACTGTTCTTAGCCAGTGCCTTTACTGCTGAGTCATCTCTTCAGCCCTGTTTTAATACTTTTAAAGCAAACATTCAGATTCACTCTCCACCCGCCCTCCAGTTTCTCCCCATCCTCTTCCCGTCTCCCCTCTCCAGGTCTGTCTTCCTTTCACTTCCTCCCACTTCACGAGCTCTTTTTATAAACCTGACTGAGGGGCTGGAAAGATGGCTCAGCAGTGAAGAGCAGTGATTGCTCTTGCAGAGGACGAGGGTTCGATTCCAGCACCCACATCATGGTTAACAACCATCCGTAGCTCCAGTTCCAGGGGATCTGATGCCTTCTAACCTCCAAGGGCACTGCACGACACGGGTGCACTTACACACATGCAGGCAATACACTCATATGCATAAAATAAAAATAACAAATAAAATGTATATTAAAAAAACTGAGTCTGCTTAGTCTGCCAGTGTGCGTATGGGTGTAGGGTCATCAACTGGAGCATGCATCCCTGAAGAAAACTCCCTGCCTCTTCCAGCAGACATGAATTGCTAATAACTCCTTATCATGTCCCGTCCTCCCACAGCTCAGCAATCACTGAAGAAGGGGAAGAAAGGTTCTAAGGGCCACAAGCAACAGAGGACTACAGAGAATCAGTGCTTTCTAGACATGACAGGCTGCTGCACATACCTCACAGTGGCTGTGACTCTATGCACAAGACCCACACAAGATCAAGCCAACCAGAATCACTGCGTGGATGGGGGAGGGGGAATCATTGTCCAAATTAGTTCTTTGTCGCTGAAAAAAATAGCTAATAGTTGTACTAGATGGTATCATTTCTAAATGAGTCATTTTCTCAATTTGTAAAACCCAATTTGTAATTTGAAATAGCCCTATAAAACCTCTATAAGTACATATTCATATCCATGCATAAATTACTGTTATAATAAAATCAAGTCAAGAGAGATAAATTACATCATGTTAAAGAACAAGATTTTATTATTATTATCATCATCATCATCATTTTTGTCTTTTTGAGAAAGGGTCTCCTCCCTGTAGCCCCAGCTGGCCTGGAACTTACTATGTAGACCAGGCTGGCCTCGAACTCACAGAGATCCACCTGCCTCTGCCTCTTGAGTGCTGGGATTAAAGGTGTAAACAACCACACCCAGCCTTTAACTATTATTTTTATATGTATGTATGGTGCTTGTGTGAGTTTATGTGCACTACATGCATGCAGGAGCCCATGGAGGTCAGAGAGAGTGTTAAATCCCCTGGAACTGAAGTAAAAGGTGGCTGTGAGCTGCCTGACATGGTGCTGGGAACCATACTCTAGTCCTCTGCAAGACCAGCAAGTGATTTTTAAAAATTGTATATTTTATTTTTATTTTATGTATATGCATGTTTTGCCTGCATGTATTTAAGTATACCACATGTGTAGTGCCCACAGAGGCCAGAAGTGGGCATTGGATCCTCTGGAACTGGAGTTCCAGATGGTTGTTAGTTGCCATATAGGTGCTGCGAATCAAACCATGGTCTTCTACAAGAATAGCCAATGTACTTAACCAATGAGCCAACTCTCCATCTCTCCAGTCTCCTCCCAACACACCTTTTTTTTTTTTTTAAGACAGGGTCTCAGGCTGGAGAGATGGCTCAGCAGTTAAGAGCATTGGCTGCTCTTGTAGAGGACCTGGGTTCAGTTTCCACACCCACCCATATAGTAGCTAACAACTGTCCATAACTCCAGTTCCAGGGGATCCGACATCCTCTCCTGACCTCCAGGGGCATTGCAAGACATGGGTGTACTTATATACATTTAGGCAATATAATCATATACATTAAAAAAAAAAAGACAGGGTCTCCTGTAACCTCAGCTGGCCTGGAACTGTTAGTCCAGGCTGGCCTCTGTGTCACAGGGATCCACCTGTCTCTGGGTCCTGAGTCCTGGGATTAAAGCCGTGGGCTACTGAACCCAGATGCAGCTTTTAACCTCTGAGTTATCTCTCAGTCCTTCATGCTTTTTTTTTTTTTTTTCAGTCTTTTTGAGACAGGGTCTCCCTGTAGCCCCAGCTGTCCTAGAACTTACTATGTAGACTAGGCTGGCCTTGAACTCAGAGATCCGCCTGCCTCTACCTCCCCAGTGCTGGGATTAAAGGCATGCGCCACCATGCCCGACACTTTTTTTTTCTTCTTTTTTAAGAAAAGGGGGGCTGGAGAGATGGCTCAGCAGTGGTTAGGAGCACTGACTGCTCTTGCAGAGGACCCGAGTTCGATTCCCAGCACCCACATGGCAGCCACGAACTGTCCTTAACTCCAGTTCCAGGGGACTCCAATGCCCTCTTCTTACCTCCGCAGCATTGCACGACACGGGTGCACTTACATCCACGCAGGCAATACATTCATACACATAAAATAAAAATAATAAAATATTTTTGTTTTAAAAAGGAAAAGGTGTTTAATAAGATTTTTTCTGCAATAAAGTGCTATAAACTTCGACACATGTATAGATTTTTATAACTATCACCAAAATTACTGTTAATTACTATCAATGGCTTCGTTACTCATACATATGTGTATGAGTGTATTGCTTGCATGCATGCAAGGGCACCCATGCAGTGCAATGGCCACAGAGGCCAGCAAGTTGAGTTACATGTGGTAGTAGGCTGCCACGTGGGTGCTGAGATCTGAGCCCAGGTCCTCTACAAAAGCAGCCAGTGCTCTTAACGGCTGAGCTGTCTCTCCAGCCTCTCCCAAACACTGCCTGTGTGGCCACTTCAATCACACTGCCCATGTTAATTCTGGATGACCACTGATTTGTTCTCCTTGTCACATTATTCTTCTAGAAATCATATGAACAGAAACTTGCAGTGTGTAGCCTTCTGAGTAACATTCATGTGGGCTGTTTCCTGTATCAATCTCATTGTTTTTAATACTGAGTAGCACTGCACTGAACAAATACATCACAGGATTGTTTATCCAAAACCACAGTAATTGTTTATCCAAAACCATTGACAGACATTTGGGCAGTTTCCAGTTTCTGCTCGTTGTGAGCAGAACAGCAATACATGTTTTTGTGTAAACATAGGTCTATCTTACTCTAAGGAAAAGGTTTTATGTTTGTTAGAATATACCAAATTGCTTTCTTTTTTTTTTTTTTTTTTTTTTTTTTTTTTTTTTTTGTCTTTTTGAGACAGGGTCTCCCTATAGCCCCAGCTGTCCTGGAACTCACTATGTAGACCAGGTTGGCCTTGAACTCACAGAGATCCGCCTGCCTCTGCCTCCCAAGTGCTGGGATTAAAGGCATTGCCACCACGCCCAACTACCAAATTGCTTTCTATACAAGCTGAACCATTTTGCATTCCCACCAGCCACATGAGAATATATCTTTGATCTATATCCTTGCTAGAATCAGTGTATATCTACCTAAAAGATCCTGCTAGGATTTTGATAGAAATGGATGCATTTATTGAGTTTTCCAATCAATGAATAACAACACCACATTTATGCCTGACAACATATATTTCAGTTTTTAATTTTCAGTATGTCTTATGCATGTTCTGCTAGAATTATTCCCAGGCCTTGCATGTTGGAAGCTACCGCAAATGAAATTTTACTTTTAAATTTCAGCTTCCAGTTGCTCCTTGTCATTAAATTCAAGTACGATTGAATTTTGTGTATTGACAGTGTTTCCTGGGCGATGGTTCACCTTGTCAACCTAACTGGATTAGGATTTACCTCAGAGATTGAGAACTCTTCTGGATGTCTGTGAGGACATTTCCAGAGGCATAACTGGGGGGAGGGTGTGACCAGCCCTGTGAGCTATGCCATCCCATGAGCTGGGGTCAGGGACAAAATAAAAGGGGAAAAAGGAGAAAGCCAGTCCCCTTTCTTACTCTCTGATTCCTGGTCAGCCATGAGGTGAACAGCTGCCCTCTGCTACAGGCTCTTGTTGCCATGATGTTCTCCCAAGTGTATGTGGCCTGCACTCACATGTGGCCATGAGCCAAAGTCAATCTTTCCTCCCCTAAGTTGTTTCTTTCAGGGATTTTGATCATAGCTATCCTCAGGAGAACTGACACCTCCTGCACTATGCTAGAGCCAGCTCTAGCTCTTCTTGTAGACACCTTGGAATTTTCTTCCTTCTGTGGTGCTGGGGGATTGAACTCAGGGCCTTGTGCATGACCCTCCAGCCCCAATCCTTAGGGTTTTCTATGTGGAAAATCATCTGTCACATGTCATATGTGAATAACAATAATTTAACTTTTTTTTTTTTTTTTTTTTTTTTTTTTTTTTTTTTTTGTCTTTTTGAGACAGGGTCTCCCTGTAGCCCCAGATGACCTGGAACTCACTATGTAGACCAGGCTGGCCTCAAACTCAGAGATCTGTTTGCTTCTGCCTCCTGAGTGCTGGGCTTAAAGATGTGCACCTGGCCGACAATGTTACTCCTTTTAAATCTATACACGACTTCTTACTTTGCCTTGCCTTGCTTTGCTAAGATTTCCCCTATAAGGTTGAGAAAAAGTGGTGAGATTAGACATCGTTGGCTTCTGCCTTTGAGAAAAAGCACTTCTCATCTTCTCTAAGTATGAGGTTAGCCATAGTTTCTGAGGTTTCTTTATCTCAATCATAGTTAACTCATCACATGGTCATGATCCTGCCCACTGTGCTTTGGAGTTTTCTCGCATCGTTGTCAGGTTTTGATAGCAGGGCAATGTCTTTATAAAATGAATTGCTAAATATTTTGTTTTCTTCTTGCTTCTAAATATTTTTATGACTTTTCTTTGTATCTGTATGTGCTTGTGTGTGTGCACATGCAGATGCCATGGCATGACTGTGTGGGAGTCAGGTTCTCTCCTTCCACCATGTGGTCCCAGGGATTGAAATCAGGTCGTCAGGCTTTGCACAAGCACCTTTACCTGCTGAGCCATTGCTGGCTTTTTTTTTTTTATTTCTAAAAGGGATCATATACTATTGATGTGGTGGTTTCAATGTCCCCCACAGTCTTAAGTATGTGAACACTTGGTCAGTTGGTGGCTGTTTGGGGGAGGGTCACGGAAGCCCTAGGAGGTGTGGCCTTGATGAAGTCCATGTCACTGGGGGCAGGTGGGCTGAGAGTTCACAGCCATGTCCCATTTTTGACTCTCTCTTTCCACATCCTGTGCCTGTTTGAAGACGTGCGTGCTCAGCTTGCTGCTACGGCTGCCTCCTGCCATGCCTTCCTTGCCATGATGGACTCTTATTCCTCTGGAACTGTAGCCAAATAAACTCCAAGTTGTACTGGCCATGGTGTTTTATTACAGCAGCAGGAAAGTGACTAATACAGTTGGCATTACTAGTTTTACATGCGGAGGTAGAGTTCACCGGTGAAATTATCTTAGCCTGGAATTCATTTTTTCAGAGGTATTTAACCATGAACCCAATTTCTCTAATAATTACAGTGCACTTGACACTAGTCAAAAAGCCAAAAAGTGACAGTTACAGTAGTACTAACACTTTAGTAGTAGTTTAGATTGGGTGTTTTAGCAATTCAGAGTTTTGGTGAAAATTGTTCTATTTGATTGAAGTTCGCGAATTTATGTTAGTACTCCCTTATCCTGATAGTTTTGAAGTGGACAAAAATGTAAGTACAACATTAAATTTGTGGGATGCAGTTAGAGCAGCATAAAGGTCAAATGGGTTCACTGAATTGTATTAGAGGAAAGAGAGAACTGTTTTTTCAGTGGGATAGCTGCTGACAAATTACCCATGCTTAAGTACATAACCCTTACCCTGTGCTGCACACACACACTAGACAAACACAAGGCATGAAAGTAGGGAGACTTATTGGGAGGGAAACAGACAGTAATCACTGTGGGGGTTTGAAGGAGACTTGTTGGGAGGGTAACAGAGAGTAATCACTGTGGGGGTTTGAAGGAGAATGTCCAGCATAGGCTCCAAGGATTTGGACATTT